CTGGTGTGCACCAGGGAATGGCTAGAGCCAAGAGCCACCTTCCTGGCCGGCCTTGAAGTCAGCCCTTGTGTCTGAGCAGACACACCTGTGAAAGGCTGACCTCTAGGGAGCAGGAGGGTGCCTACTGCCACAGCAAATCCTGTTGCTGTCCCCTGGCCTGGGAGTGGCCCGTTCTCTCTCTCTACTTTGCTAGCTATCTGGACTCACCAAGGCCTCTGCAGAAGTTCTGGGCAAAGCAGGCTGGAATTCTCACTCAAGGAGCTGGGGCTGGGGAGAGTGTTCCTCCAGCGCCCAGGGGTCTACGTTGCAGGCTGTGAGAAACTTATTCTGCCATGCAGTATACCTATTAGAGCCACAGACTGGGACTCCGAACCCCGCTCTGCACCCTGCACTACAGTTCAAAGACAGAGAAGGGGACAAGGATGGTTTTGAGTCTTGATCTGGGATAAGCTGAACCTTTGCAGGAGTGGAAAAGGTGTGAGATGAAATTAGCCTTTCCCAGAGGTGGCTCTGTGATGCTGGTCTGCATCATGGCAACTTCATTTCCCAGATGCCTTTGCGGGCTGGATTTCTATTCGGTGCTACCTATATGAGCCCCTGAGAGGAAATGGAGAGGGAAGGAGGAAAGGAGTGTTGCCCTTGCAGCGCCCCAGTGGCAGCAGGTCCCAGCAGCAGCTCGGCTGTGCCAGCTCAGAAGTCCCCAAAGAGCTGGACAGTGCCCCTCCTCCACATCTAAGCTGTGCTCCAGGGGCCTCCTCTGAGTTCCTGTAACCCCATCCTGTTCTCTTCTGTCCTCCAGCCCTAAAGCAGCAGTGAAAGCGGCTTTCTATAGTTATTCTCGTTGGATCTTCCTAAGTATTTTCTTTCTTTTTTGCCCTGTGTAACTAAATACTCCGATTAGACTTCCTTGGCTGAGATCCTAGCATGATTTCTGCTTTTCTGATCTGTTCCTAGAAATATAGGAAGAAACGGAGCTGTTGCAACAGAGGAGAACCAAGGACAGTGAACAGAGGGAAGGACAGGACAGGGGCTTGGCCAACAGAGGAGAACCAAGGACAGTGAACAGAGGGAAGGACAGGATAGGGACTTGGGGGTGAGGCGGCCTTGAATTCAAATCTTTCCTCTGCTTTTATCCCCGAGTGATTTCGAACAAGTTACTGGATTTTTCTGAGCCTTGGTTTCCTTACCTGGAAATAGGATTGGTAACACAAACCTGCCCTGGCAGTCCCTGTGGACACACACACACACACACACACATACACGCACGCACATTGATCCAAACTAGATTAGGCAAGAGGGTGAAATTTTGTTTTTTATCAGTACTGGGGATCGAATTCACAACCGCCTGCTTACAAGGCAGGTACTTATGCCACTGAGCTAAATCCTCAGCCCCTAGAGGGTGAAATTATTATGGAAATTTCTAGAAAAATATCTATCAAGGGAGAAGGTAAGAAGGCAGGGAGAGGCGAAGCTTGGCTCTAATACAGTTGGAGCCAGAAAGTCACGCACATTAGGTTTCCCTCTTCTCAGCATGAATCAGAAGAGACCAGACCCTCAGCACAGTCCCGTGAGGTGCCACTTTGCCCAGAGAAGACGGGGCTCCTCTGCCCTAGACTCAGCTCTGTCATCCCACGGGGAGGGCCCTGCTGCCTAGGGCTGGCCATGTGCCCAGTCTCACACACATGCACATGGCCTGGGAGCAGGGTCACACACAGGAGGACAGGTATCCATCCATCACATCATGCCTGGGTCATGCACAAACTTGGTGGTCCTCTTTTCCTCCCTGGCTGCCTGGGGGCAGGCCACCATCATGAAGGACACAGTAATTATTCAGACTGGAAGTCCACAACCAAATGACCACTGCAGAGGAAATGAATGGTCATTGATGTACTGTATTTCCTGCTGGAAGACCACAGTACCCGAGACAGAAATGCAGGAAAACTCACCAAAAGGCACACAGTCCTGCCACATGTCTTTGTATCTGCATTCACAGCTCATTTGGGTGACTGTAGAACAACTGGCTCTGGTGTGATTTATGATTCCTTGGGCTGTGCAAAGGAAAACGAACCCAAACACGGATTTGCCAGACACAGCCTGTACGAGAAGAGAAAGATTTCAAACCAAACAAACAAACAAAGACAGCAAAAGGAAGGCGAGACCAGAATGAAGAAAGTCAGCGGAAGTGCCAGGGCCGGGGTCCATACTGGCAAAATTGAGCTGGAGACTGGGCAAGAGGAAAAAGAGTAAAAATTCTTCTATAACTTCATCTGTGGTGATTGTACAACATTTTCATGACAGGATTAATAAATTGCAAAAACTTGAAAAAAGGAAAAAACTCCACAAAATTTGGTTGTTCCAGGATGACCATCTTTATCGCTAAGGCTCAGAGAAGAAAGGGCTGGACCCCAGAGATGGCTTTTATCTCAGTAACAAAACTGGGCCCTGTATCATCAAAAACCAGGTGACTAGAAGCTCTTTAGGCTGAGGGAAGTAGCTGGATACAGTTGGGGGCAGGCAGACAAGCCCACAGGAGCTGGAACCCCAACCCCTGCAGGCTGTTTTGAAAGAGAAGAAAATTCAAAGGTTCAAAGAGACTGTAAATGGCTTACAGTAGGCAGGGCTGGACGTCCCGCCATGATCTTCTGGCTTCTCCCTGTGATCCAGTAGCTGCTGCTGGTCCTCTCGGGAAATGGGCCGCTGCTGGACAGCTAAGAGTGGACAGCATTCTCTGGCTCCACTTCCTCTGGTCCCAGAGATGCCAGCAGGGTACATGGGCCCTCTGGAAGTCTCAGGCTTTGAAAAAAAAATGTAGGGAAAGGGCACAGGGCAACTAAAATTATGGTCAAGGGGAAATAAGGGTCCTCTGAAAACAGACAAGGGCAAAGAGGGGTACCTGACTTGCTGGTGACTTGTTCCTGGTACTTCTCTCTTACCCTCCTGATAGTCAATCACGCTAAATTAGCCTCCTGTACATGTCCCTATGTTGTGCCTCCATAGCTTTTTAAAAACCGATTCTTCAGGCAGGGGGTTTAGCTCAGTGACATTAAGTGCCTGCTTGGCAAACACAAGGTCATGAGTTCAATCCCTGGTACCAAAAACAAACAAACAAACAAAAAAACCCGATTCTTTTACGTGAACACCTTCCACTCCCATCCAAACCATGTTCTGAAAAACTCCTACACATCCCTCAAAACACATTTCCATCATCTCCTCTGTGCAGTATTCATGTTTGTTAGTAGTGAAATTTTACTGATCTCCACACCAGGATCAGTGGTTCCCTTTTCTCTGCACACCGACACACTTAAGACTTCTTCCAGAACAGCTATGGATCTGTTGCAAACTGAATCACCTAAGGGGTAATTTCAAAATATTCCAGCCTAGGACCCACCCCATGAGAAAATGACTCAGGGAGTCTGAGGCAGGTCCAGGTGTCCAAAATGTTAGTGGCTGCCACCAGTGCTTGTGCTTCCCAGTGCAGGGCGAGGATGGCTGGATGCATCTCTTAGAAACAGAGTTTTCTCCTATATTCCAGGGCCAGGCTCTGAGGGAGAGAGGGAGGAAGGAAGAGAAAAAGGTGGAGGGTAAAATGGACATGCTCCCAGAAGGGGCAGAAAGCAGGGGTCTTGGGGCAATGCTCCTGGACCACTGTACTTTACCTCCACTGCCAGAGGAACCAGTTTTGGAGTGGGACACACCAGGGGCTGAGCCCTGGGTCTGCCACATACTGGCTGCATGTACCTCGGCACCACACCACCGTTTCCATTGCCTGACGCTCACGAGGGCCGTGCCTGCCTTTAGGGTCATTGTCTTTAGTCTGGTGCAGGTACACCAGCAGGGGCCTTGGGAAAACGCAAATTCTGATTCACTGGTTTCTGGGCTGGAACCTGAGGCCTGCAGTGTGGACAGCCTTCTAGAGAGTATTGGTGCTGCAGGTCTGCGGCTGAGTGAGGACATCCATCTAAAGTGGACATTGACCCTTTCAGGGAGGCAGCCTGGTCCTCTGGAGTGGGCTGGGGATGAGGCTGCAGCACGCTGTGTGCCAGGCATGGTGCCGACCCTCCACCCCCACCCCATCCCACAGAGCTGGGATCCCTGTTTTCCAGAATGTGAGCAATCCTGATGGTGCATTGCTTAAGCCCCAATGAATGCGTTTCCTTTCCCTACTGTAAGAAGTCACCTTATACCTGGTGGCTTTAAGCCACCTCTTTTTATTCCAGAGGTCAGAGCTTAAGAAATATATCTCAAATGCTGGAGCCCACAGGGCGACCCACCCTTTGGCTCCTGTAATGTCCTGAGGCTGCATCACCCACTCCCATCTCTGCAATGCTGTCAGGTTGCCTCCTCCAGTCTCTGACCTCTTCTTTGTGTCTTCCAAGGCCCCTTGTGATGATATCCAGCCCACTTGCATAACCCAGGATATTTCCCCCAGGTCAAGATCCTTAACTTTATCACACTTGCAAAGTCCACTCTTAGCACATAAGGCCACATGTGGGAGGCTCTGGGGACTGGGAAGGAGGCCATCACCTTGCCTAGCATAGCCACCGTCCAGGTGTTCCAACGTAACCTCTACAAGTCAGACCCTGACACAAGCCTTGAGCCGCTCATCACTTCCTGGGGCTGAACCTTCCGTCATAGTCTCAGCAGAGTCCAGGCTCTGGGCTGTCTATGAGCCATGAGAGTGACTCAGGAGCAGGAACTCTGTCAGGAGACTACTGGCAGAAGCCCTGGTGAGAAGGCAGACAGAGCACTGGCCATAAACATAGAGTGAATAGTTATTAAAAAGGAAAAAGAAGCAGGGTAAAAAGTCCAATTGTGAAAAAAAAAAATCCAGTTGTACTATATATTTTTTTAAGTAGGTAAACCCTTTACCCTGTGCTCCTGACACACAATACGCTGAGCTGAGCGCCTGGTGGCCGGCCACGTGTTCTGAGCCTTCTAAAGGCCCTTAGAGGTGAGCTGAGTGACAGGTATCTGTCCTGCAAACTGTCGGGGTCAGAGGCTGGAGCGAGAGCAAACAGAGCAAGCTGTGTCTTGCCCACCATCTCTGTAAAGCAAAGCACAGGCTCGGAGTTTGCCAACAGAAACTCACTCTTTCTGACTTTCCTGGAACTGAGGGTTTTCCTGGGAGAGCAGGGACAAACAGGTCATCTGATTTGTAGGGCAGCTATACAAATCCAGCTGTGGGCTTTGGTGCTGTAGACCCTTCACCCCAGGTGACTTGACAGCTGCTGGCTGGGCTCATAGCTGTTACAAAAGGCCACCCACATGAAGCAGGGGGCGGGGACAGCTGGAGCTCTCAACTATGACAGAGGACTGTGGCTGGGTCACACTGGCTCGAGGTCTGAGTGATCCTGGAGCAGCTTCCGTCTTCCCAGGTCAGTAAGTGCAGCTGGGGGTACAAGACAGAGGTGGAGGTCAGGTTGGAGGAGAGGGGAGAATAAATCCTATAGAAGACTCCACTGAAAAAGCTGACCACCCTTTCAGAAGTCCACGATGGGAGCCTGCCTGTTCAGGGGCAAGGGTCCTCCTACCGGGGGCCCAGGACCCGCTGCTGGAAGTTCAGTGTGATAGGAAAGGAATCCTGGGGCCCGGTGGACCCTGTAGGTCCTGCCTGCCAGCACTGTGTCCTTGAACAAGCCTCCTAGACCTCTGAACATTATTTCTCGCTTGCAAAATATGGCTACTCATGACACCTCTATGCAGAGTTAAGAGAAAAACCAACATCCAACTTGTCACTTGCCTAATACTCAGTAGGCTGCTTCTGTCCCCAAGCCAGACCCAAAATATGGCTACTCATGACACCTCTATGCAGAGTTAAGAGAAAAACCAACATCCAACTTGTCACTTGCCTAATACTCAGTAGGCTGCTTCTGTCCCCAAGCCAGACCCAGAAAACAGATCGACCTCCAGAAGGGACAGCCTTGAATTGGGACAAAGGGAGCTGGGTAGACCCAGGGCCATTGCACCCACACTTTGGACCCAGGGCACCTTCTGTCTTTGGGTAAATTCTCTCCTGTGCTCCTTCTTCTGGATTTCTCACCAGCCCCCTGGCAGGCCCTCCTTCTCACATTACCTCATGTTGGCTGGGTTACAGATGAGTTAGACTGTGGTTCCACGATATGACACACAGACACCCTGGTAGGCTTTTCATGTTTTAACATGTATGATTTCGTTAGACCATCATGCAACCCTTTGGAGTAGCACTCTCCCCATTTTATAGATGTAGAAAAGGAAGCTACTCGTGGTTAACTAACTCAGGCCCCCTGTTAGGCTGCAAGTTCAATGTTGCTTGAGGAAGGAGACTTCGTGATGTTGCCAAGGCTGTTAGGGGGCAGCCCACTCTGGTGGACCGGCCACAGTCACGCAGAAACTCTACACCACTCTGGCCTGTGGACAACCGCTCAAATGACAGCCCAATTACAGGGCTGGCAGAAAATTCTAAAGAGGATGCGCCTCCCTGTCAGTCCCCACTCTGCTGTTGAGAGCTAATGCTCCGGTTCTAGTGTTGGATTTAACCCCTCTCTCAATCCCTCACCAAGACAATGTGGGCCAGCTCCCTTACGCTGCTAAAAATGGAAGTGACAACTACAGCTGCCTTTTATGAGAGAAAAGGGAATTTATTAGTTTGAGCAGAAAAGGATATGCTCGAGTAGGAGGGTGATACACATAAATTGCAGCCAGGGAGAACCCGTCCCAGGTCAGGCGGTGGCTGTGCCAGCCTGGATCACGTAGGCCAAGTGTGGCACTGTGCTACAGTTCTCCAAAGACCTGAAGTCCTGCCAGGCAAAGGGGCAGGGATGGGTCTGTGGATCCACTTTGATCAGTGTTTCCAAAACTTTGTTTATTGATTTTGTAGAGTGGGAGGTTTGGAAGCCCAGAACTGCCCAGAAGTTTGATCTCTGAAGGTAACACCAGAGCGCCGGAGAATGGAGCGGCTGCACCAGCCTCACAGTGTAGAAAGGTGGAGAGGAGCAGAAGGCAGAGGAGGGGTGAAGGGCAACCCCCAGGACCTCAAATGAAGACGCTGTGTCCTGTGTCTTTATTACTTGGGCTCAGGAACTGGGAATGGCCAGTTGGGTAGAGGAAGGATCAAATGGACAGCAGCTGCCTCACGCATTTCAAGGAATTCTCTGCGGTGTTTGCACTTGAATGAGGATAATTTGGTCAGATTAGGAAACAGTGTATCATTTGTGCTTAGCAAATTAGGGCAATTATGTACACAGGTTCATGAACACAGGTGAAGGAAAGATACATCAAACTGGAAAAAGCAGTTGGATTGCTGAGGTGAAGGTAAAGAGGGGATTTAGCTGTAATATTTAGACTCATAGCCCTGGATTATGTAATTGGAATTATTTATTCATTGATTCATTGCCACGCTCCCCTACGTACTTAGCCACTTCCACAATGTAAATTTTACAGTTAATTTTTTTTTTTTATTGGTACTGGGGATCGAACTCACAACCATGCACTTGCAAGGTAGGTGCTTATGCCACTGAGCTAAATCCCCAGCCCTATCGTTAGAAATTTTAAAAAAGGCTTTTGGCAAAATGCAAGTGGGAGAAGAGTCCCAAGTGAGGGAGAGATGGGTGAGCCTCTGGGCCAGACAGGGTAGTGTTTCAGGGTGGGCCCTGAAGAACTGGCTTTCTCCTCTCTCTGTTGTCTCATGAGGGATGTGCTGGCCAGAGCACAGAGGAGAGCTAACTAATACTCTCCTGGGCCTCTGGCCGACCTGAGCCACTTTCTGTAAGGGCTCTGGCCACATTTGTACCTGTACCTTGGACATAGGTGAGAGCCACCTATGTGGCTCTGAGTTCCTGTACAAGGTAAATGATGCAAATTTTTACACGGCTGTCCCAGGGCCACCATATGGGACTAGTTCTAGGACCCTGCAAAGTCCTTTGTATAAAACAGTGTACTATTTCCATACACATACACACAGACCCCTTAAACTTTAAATCACCTCTGGGATTCCTTCTAATACCTAATACATTGTAAAAGTTACATAATACTTGTTACCCTGTATTTATTTGGGGCTTACTGACAAGAAAAAAAGTCTGCATAAATCTAGTATTCATGATTTTTAAAATTTTTATTTATTTTTAGAGTACTGAGAATTGAACCAAGGACCCTGCCACTGAGCTACATTCCATTTTGTAATTCTGTATAAACTGCCCAGGTTGGGCTAGAACTTGTGATCCTCCTGCCTCACTCAGCCTCCCAAAGTCCTGGCATTACAGGAGTGCACCATCATGCCTGCTTCGTGCAATTAAAAAAGAAAAAGTTTAGATCTGAAGTGAAATCCATGAATGCAGGATGTGTGGGTGTGGGCGGCCAATGGTGCTACCGGGAGAAGTAGTGACCCATCCACGCTGCTGGAATCAGCTGACCTCCACCTATCACGCAGGCAGGGAGAAGGGAGGCCTATGGGAGAGGAGAAAGTTGGAGCCAAATTGCTGGCCTGCTTCGCCACAGCCTTACATTTCCAGCACAGTGGGAAGTGGGAGCTATCGGGAGAAAGAGAGAGAGGCTTGGAGTCAACATTTACCCAGCTAAGATGTGTAAGCCCCTGGCAGAAATCTCCAGCAGCCAAGAGCTCAAATCCTGGGACTAACACAAGTAGCTGAGGCCTGGATTTCAATGAACCATAACAGGGAACTTCCCAGGACAGGGTCCCAGCACCTGCTGCCTTGTTGTGTGACTAGCCAGACCGGTTTCCCTGTGGGATTACTACCAACAGCCTCACAGGAGCAAATTCAGAGATCTATAATCAATAGAGGGAAAAAGATCTAGGCTGGAAGTTCTGGCACAAGAATGAAGAACAAATAAAATGGCAAATTGGGGTACTTCTAAGTAAAGATGGCCACATCAAATAACAAACACAACATCTAGGAGAGTGCTCCACACTGAAGCCAGCCACTGCCCACCCTTGTCTTCTGCTGCAAGCTGAGGGGCTGGAAGCGTTTGGTCAGATGCCCAGGTGAGCAGGATCCCGCTGCCGGCAGCGAGGAACATCTGTCTCCACGAGATGAGGAGATGGCAGAGATACAGAGGCCTCCTTGCTTCTATCCCAGTAGCTGTGCCGGGCAGGTGAGGACACCAAGGGGCTTTGTTCCGCTGTCAGTAGTAGCTGCCTGCAGTTCCTAACGTTCCTCTACGCCTATTTTGTTTCAGTAGGCTTTCCAACCAATTTATAACCGAAGGAAATCTGCTTGACACACCTGGAGTAACCTCTGCTTCATTGACTACACTTGCTGTTACACAAGCTCTGACACACACACCCTCACTCACACAATGGAATTAAAATGCATAGCGTTTACACTGGGAAAGAGTTAATGAGGTCAAGTGATTTAAAGTTCTTGCTTGTTTGGGAAGAAGGCAAAGGTTTCAATTAACTTCTGACTGATATATTAAGAATGCAAGCTGTGCCTTCTGGGTAATCACTAAGATAATGGAAAAAGAGTTTGAGAAAGTGGAATTAATTTTTTTAAAATAGATACAGTTATTACAAAAGAAGGCAAGAAAGGTAATATGGAATAAGCGAGACAACTAAAAAGCAAAACTAAGGGAGTAAATTTAACTCACTTGTATTATAGGATCATCTAATTTAGTTAAAAATAAAGATTTTCAGCATAAATTAAGAACAAATGTGTTTTTTACAAGAATACATAAGAATACACGAAAGAGTAAAATAAGATAAACCATGAAACCCTAACAAAAGATTGCCTTTGTATATTATGTTGTCATGTTCATTGTATTAATATCAGACAGATATTAAGACTACAAGTCTTACAAAAGATAAAGAGAACCATTTCATAATGGTAAAAGCTTTCATTCATCTAGGAAATATAATTGTGTATCATATGCCAAGGAAGAAAAAGAAAGAAAGTGGAAAGGAAAAGCATTTTTATATAAAATGTATGTCCAAAAGAGTCTATAAATGAATTATTAGAATAAGTTGGAAATATTGCTAGATATAAAATCAATATATGTAACTCACATTTTTGTATCTAGCAACAAAAAGCATACAAAAATGTTTTTTTTAAAAAAAATGCCATTTACAAGAGCATCAAAGAAATTAAATTACCTGGAATAAAACTAACAAAAGATGCGTAGTCCCTTTGTGGTTTAATTATAAATCTGTATAAAAAGACGTCTTAAGAAGACTTCAAAAAGGGCATAAATATACCTTCTTTGTTTGATCCATACCTTTCAACACATACCAAAATTAACTCAAAGTGGATCACAGACCTAAATGTAGGTCCTAAAACTACACAGAGAGAACATAGCAGAAAACTTCTGCAACCTTGCATTTGTCAAAGATTTCTTAAATACAAAAACAGAAGTATAATCTATGAAAAACAAATTGATAAATTGCACTGCATCAAAAAACATTTGCTCTTCAAAAGATACTGTTAAGAGAATGAAAAGGCAATCCACAGACCAGGGGAAAAATTTTTTGCAAACCATTATCTAATGAAAAAGTTGTAATCAAAATACAAAGAATTCTCAAAACTCAAGAGTAAGAAAACAATCAGTTACAAATGAGCAGATTTGAACAGACACTTCACCGAAGGAGATATATGGATGGAAATAAGCACATGAAGAAAGGTTAACGTCACTGTGGAGGACAGGTGAGGAGCGTTAGGGAGAAGGGATTATAAAGAAGAGTGAAGAAATATTTGGGGCTCATGGAGATGCTCATCAGCTGGATTGAAGGGTTGGTTTTATGGGTATGTATATGTCAAAATGTATCAAATTGAATGCTTTCAATAAGTGTAATTTATTGTATGTCAATCATGTCTGACTAAAGCTATTTTATAAAAGATTTCAATAAACCAGAAATACGCCATGTTTGTGGGTTGGCAAACGAAACAGTCTCCCTTGTTTGATTTATAGATTGAACACAATCCCAGTAAAAATTCCAGCTGCTTTTCTGTTCCTTCTGTGGAACTGATGAGCTCATTCTAAACTTTATATGGAAATGCGAAAGACCAAGAATAGTCAAGATACTCAAGATTTCCCCCTCAAGGTTGGAGAATCTGACGGATAAAATAAGAAGTTATTACAAATCTATATTAGACAGCATGGTCTGAGTATGGATAGACTGGCAGGCCAATAGAATAGAAGGGTCCAGAAATAGATGGATCCTTCTATGAATGCTTGGCATATGGCAGAGGTGAATCACAGAGCATAGCGCAGAGCAGACTTCGTAGTAAATGGTGCTGTCATAACTCAGCGTTCATACAGGAGTTGACAATTGGGATCCTATCTCAAGCCAAGAACAAAAACCAATTCTATTGGCTAGGGGTACAGCTCAACATTGGATTCTCGGCAGACATACAAGATAGTCCAGTCACCCAGGAGGTTGCTTCCTGCCGCGCTGGGAGCCACTCCACCTGCAGGTGCAGCTTGACCATCAGCTGTGATGCCCCTCTTTGAAGAAGGGTGGGGTGGGGGGACACCCTAACGTGGCCTGAAAGGAGGTACCTGGGCCCATTAACAGGCAAGTCAGTAGACATTTGGTTAATTCTTTCCCAGGCCCTTTGAAAAAGAGAAAGTTCAGGTGGCTAATCAAAACATAAAAAGATGTTTAATTTCATTAATAATCAGGAAAATTCAAAATGGAACCCCAAAGAGACATCACTATGCCCATATATACCACAGGACAATCAAATTCCGACATTACCAAGTATTTAGTAAGAATATGGATTTATGGGAACTCATACATGGCTTAAAAAACCAATACATTGATGCAACCACCTTGGCTAACAGTTTGGCATTTTGTGGCATTGCTGAGTATAAGCGTAGACAAATTCATGCAGCATAGCTGTACCAAGAGTTGGGGGCAATGAACCAGGTATAATGTCCCATACTTGTAATCCCAGCTACTTGGGAGATTGAGGCAGGAGGATCACAGGTTGCAGGCCATCGCAGGCAATTTAGTGAGACTCTCTCTCAAATTAAAATTAAAAGGAGTGGGGGGAATAGCTCAGTGCTTCAATCTCTAGTACAACCAAAAAATAAATAAAAGAGTTATAGACAAGTGTCTATAGCAGCTTTGCTGTGAAACTGGAATACTAGAAGCAGTCCAAATCACCACTAATAATTTACTAGATAAATGAATCACAGAACATTAAAAAATGGTTGCTATATAGCATCAGAAATTATAGATAGCTATATTCAATAATACAGATAAAGCTTATAAATATGATGTTGAACAAGTAAGTATGAAAGATACATGTAGTATAATTCAGCTACTTTAAAAATGTGTGTATCAAGATACATAAAATAAATTTAAACTGTTTAGGTGTGAATACACAGGTAAAGATGATAAGCAAGAAAAATATTGTCTTGAAAGTCAAGATAGTAGTTATTGGGGGGAAGGAGATTTTCCTAATGGAAGGAATTTCCTTCCTAATGGAATTCTTCCTAATGGAAGAAGTACGCACAGGGCTTCTTGAAGTGTTATATTCTAGGGTTTCAAAACTAATGACTGTCCTCCTTAGTCACGGGATTGAAGTTCTTCTAATCGTTCCGTTTGATCCTACCTAACTGGTGTGTCTAGCACTGGCCAATAACTATGGTTAAAGGAACTCCTTTAGCTGATTGCCTGAATTCTCAAGTGCTAAACCAATCCCCTGCAAGACAGATAAGGCTATTTAAATTTAGACCAATAAGATTCAAGGCCTGATTCCACCACTTGCCTACTCTGAAATCTTAGGCAAATCTTTTAAATTTTCTTTGCCTCAGTTTCCTCATCTATAGAAGGAATATTTACTATGGAAAGTCACTATGAGTCTCATGGGTTTGAGACTTTGCAGAGTTCCTGTGGAAGATGCTGTAGGTGATGGTGTTATGACAGCACATGGCCTGGGCTGGGGATACAGCTCAGTGGCACAGTACCTGCCTGGCAAGCACAAGGTTGTGAGTTCCATTCCCAGTATAAACAAAACCCCCCAAAATACCATACATGGCCCAGTTGCAAAAAGGAAGAAGCAAATATTTACAATATTCCACTGTCACTATAGAAAGAAGGAGAAATTTTTTAAAATCATATATTTATATTCTCTTATATAAGCATAAAATAATCCCACAGAATATTTAAGAACTCATAACCATAATCACAGAAGACGGAGGTGGGGTGGGGGAGAGAGGTGAAGAAGGGAGCATTAGAGTGACTTCGCTCTTTACCCATTTGTGTATTTTGTCTTTGCATTTGAATCATACAAATGTGATATTCCTGTGTAAAATTGAACATTTAACTTAGTCTGTGTTCCTGAGAAGTGAATGCAGCGTTCTGACCAAATTAAGGAAGAGTCGCTCTCTTCCCTCCCTGACCCAAATACTCTGTACCTGGTACCTTCCTCAAGGTGACCTTGCTTGGTTTTGCACACACCTCATCCAGGGTTTCCAGAGAAATCCACAGGGGCATTGGCAGCAGCCCTCTGCCCTGGCAAGGCCTGGCTCTCCTTGAGGGAGCAGTGTGGACAACACCTCTGCTTATAGCCTGGGCCTGGGTCTCCCACTCTGCCCTGGTTTTCTGGTCTTTTCCTTCCACCCGCCTGGACCTCATAACATTGCCGAGGATCCTGATTCTAATTGCTGCCTCCCTGTCTCTCCCTGGACCTGCCTTCCCAGCGAGGCCAGGCATTGCCCTCTTGACTGTGGCCTCCTCACAGCCTGGGCCTCATCCTTGGGCTCCCAGCTGTCACCCAGACCCTGCTGAAGTTCTGCTCTTAACCACTTGGAACCTCAGTGCCAGCCCTGGCTTCACCAGTATCTTCCTAGCCTTCCTACCCAATCTGGGACATGAACTGGGAAACAAAACAAACAAACCACCACACCCCCCACCCCCCCACCCTCCCACCCCCACCATGCGCCAAAACTGCAGTTCCTTTGAGAAGCCAGCAGTGTGAAGTTCAAGAGCTGTTGGGGATACACTTATTTTTTTATGATGAGGGACACATTTTTGATCCCCCTTCACAACTTATGAGCATAATCACCAGCAGGGGAAAATTGTGCATGTTAGCATGGAAGCTGGAAAGAGTTATTCACCCACCAGAGTACAGTTTATGCTGACTGTGCCTGGCATGTCAGGCTGTAAACACATGGCAATATGAGGACAGATCAGAGAGGGACTTTTGGGGACCAACCCCCAAACTAGCTGGTCTGGGACAGGCAGATTTACAAAAGCAGCAGCAGAGAAGAACAAGCTGATGGAGTGCTCAGGAAGCACTCAGGGTGTGAAAGTGCAGAATTCAACCAGGACGAGAGTCCCTCCCCCACGTCCTTCTGAAGGCCAATGCAAACTGACCAGAACCATTTTCAAACGTCACTCAACGGCAGCAATCCCACCAGAGCCCATAAATATTTTTGTATTGACTTTTGTTTTAGTCTTTAACAGTATCCTAAGAACTCTTTCAGTAAACAGTGCAAGGCAAAGGGAGAGAAGATCCAGAGAACAGGCTGTAATGTCATGATGCTGAGCTTCGGCCAGCTCTGTTTGGGTTGCCTGGGAGGAGCCTGGGTACTTAGGGACTCAGTGCATAGAGCAGGCGTAAATGTGGCCATCGGGGCTCTGCAGGCACCTCTAGCAGCGCCACTGGGAGGAAAAGGAAGGAAGCTTGGGCAAGCAAGCGATCAGATGCTAGTTTCAGAACTATGCATGGCTCTTAACATGAATATTGCTGGATTAGGAGCTCTTGTGGGCAGGGACCATGGTTTTTGTGCTGCTACACTTTGGTGACTACAGGATGGGGTGAGGGGAGCCCACATAGGACACTGG